CCACACAGTCGTATAGGGAAAATCCTACACACTGTATATGTAATTTGCTTCAGACACATTTATGGGATTTTTCCGACACATATTTTTTACAGTGTTCTGGAGAGAGCGGCTTTAGCTCCTATTTTGTGCATACTCTTGCGGAGGAGACAGATTCGGCAGGTCTGGTGTCAGGGGGTTAGTTGCTGGCGCACCCTTAGCACTCTAGGCATTTGACTTGTGTTTGATCTGCACCAGCTGTTTAAGAAGGAAAATAATAACTGTGAGAAATTTGGGAAAACCGTTCATGTGACTGGCCTTATAACAACTGGTTATGGAACTGACCTTGCGGATTGCCCTGACCCTTGATTCGCTATTCATCGTCCCTGGAGAAGTAAAAGAAACACTCTGTGCTCCCACCAACTTAGATGTGGAGGGTGATGACAGGTGATTTCTGTGCTGACCTGTAAGACTGACGTAAGTCAATAAAGTGAAAGTTTCAGGAGAGGAATAAAACATTTCCCAAAATCCCTATGAAACTTTTAAAAACTTTTTAGACCGCTCTTTTGCTTAAAAGCTACATAAGCGGGCTTATGCAATCGCCTCTGTGTCTTTCTGTCCGTTTGTCCGTTCCCCAAAAAGGACGTGAGCTAGAGTTCTGAAATGTTCAGGGTATTATTGTTGTCACTTCTGGACAACAAAACGGGTGCACTGTAAAAATATTTTTTGGAAATTTCCAAACAATGAACTGGAAAATTTGCAGCCCAAACAGTTTGGAAATTTTGAAATCCGAACAGTTTGGTAAACACTAGATTCCAAACTTTTTGGAAAATTTCTATAATATTGTGCCAAACATTTCTAAATTTCTTTGAAAGTCGTTATTTTTGTTGTTTTAAAACGCTGTTTTCGTGTAAAATCGTACCTTTCTGTTTTCCAAATTGTTCGGAAATTTCCCGTAAAATATCCGGAAAATTACATTTCCAACAATGTTTTGGAAAACCATTTTTCCAAACTATTTGGACAGATTTTCTTTGGAAAATTCTGATTTTCATTTTTAGTGTGGTGTAAATCCTGGCAACTACCCCTGAGTGGGTCTGAGGCAGAGATCTGCGATGGGCGGGCGGGCGGGCGGGCGCCCGCTGCCTGAGGTGTGCGGGAGAGAGCGACAGTCATGGGCGGTGTGCTGCGTTGCTGTGGCTTGGCGTTGCGGCTGCAGTCACCGGCCGGACATCTGAACAGTGCCGAAGTCACCTGTGCGGGGTCCGCGCGGGTTGGCGCTGACCGACAGCTACTCTCGCCACGCCAAAACAGTGCCGAATGAAGCGCGCGGACCATCCGCCCGTCTCCGGGCTCGGTCCGGGCGACCACCGGGTGTTATATTCAGTTAAGAAAAGGCCGACTGGGGCGCGCCGCCCCGGGGCCGGGGCGGGGGCCGGGGCCTGGCCCGGTAGGCGCGGAGCGTGGGGAGGGGGTACAGCGGAGGAGGGAACGGAAAGGCAACGGTAGGGAACCGACCGTCCAGCGAGGAGCCGAGCGCGTTCGAGCCGAGCCGAAGCGGAGCCGAGCCAACAAGCGACTTCACTGCTGCCATCTCTCGGACCCCGGAGAAATTACGTCGCTCTTTAGTGCGGACATCTGGCCGTGTACTTTACTTCACTTCCACTTCCACGTGAGCTTCGGTGAGGTCACGTAGTGCTGTCAGCTGTTCACTGTTGTTGTCTGAGTTCTGAGTTGTTGGGAAGAAATGGAGCACCTTCCCGTTGTCGAGCAAATCGTCGGGCTGACGATGGCTCTCGTAGAAGAAGAAGAACTCGAGCACGAGGACCTTGCTCGAGCTGTGGCGCTTTTGAGTGTGTGGGAAATAATTGCCATTGAGGAGGAAGGTTTATTTCTCGGTGAGTCGTCAGTCGTCGCTAGGTTATGAAGCGTCCTGTTACAATCGCATGTTTGCAAATTGCATTCCTTTGTCTGATTTCCATTTGTTTGCAGAAGGAGGAGAGGCGTCCTGGGAGTACGTCGCTGCGAACATTGATGACTATCATAGGATGTCAAACAACTGTTTCAAGATGCATTTTCGAATGAGTAGGCCTGTTTTTGAGGTAAGTTGACATTTTGCTTGTTAAAGTGTATGTCCTATTCATGTCTGAAAAATTTGTAATCCAATTGTTATTATCATTTCAGTCTATTTCTACAATAGTCAAAGATCATCTGATAGCCAAACGCAGACTTCAGAGAGAAAGAACTGATTTTAACGATATTATGCTCATGGTTATATGGCTGCTTGCTACCCCCGACTCCTTCAGAAGCGTTGCATTACGTTTTGGTGTTGTGCCTAGCATCCTATACTATTTCTACATATATATAATTGAAGCATTACGTGAGCTGTCAGCTAAATACATCTCTTGGCCCAAAGAAGAAGAGAGGGCAGTCATAAAGCAGACCTTTGAGAGAGCAACGGGCTTTCCTGGAGTGATAGGATGCATAGACTGCACACATGTTTACATCACAGCCCCTGTCCTTGATGCCCAGCAGTATGTTAATCGTCACCACACTTACAGCATTAATGTTCAAGCTGTGGTAGACAACAACTTGTTAGTTCGCCAGTTGCACGTAGGAGAGGCTGGCAGTGTAAATGATGCACGAGTCTTCCGGAAGAGTAACTTGTATGGAGATCTTTTGCACAGGCCTCTGGGAGCCATAAGAAATGTAGATGAGCACCTTGTTGGAGATGGGGCTTACACGGTGACTGATTTTGTAAGTGTTTCGAAGTGATTCTGGTTGTTGTTTCCATTCTGTAATGTGCTGACATATTTTTAATTTGATTCTATCTCTATCTTTTAATTTTGCAGATGATGAAACCCTTTCAAAACAATGGTGTTCTGACCAACAGGCAGAAACAATTTAACAAATCTCTATCTCAGTGCAGAGTCAGAGTTGAAAACGCCTTTGCACTGGCCAAGGCAAAGTGGCGGCGTCTAAAGTTTATGCATGCTAGAAATCCACGCAATGTGGTTGACCACATTGCTGCCTGCTTTGTGCTGCACAACATGATAATGACCCATGGTGAACCTGTTATAGATGTAAGTGCTATTTTCTATTGTTGTACAATTTCCAGGGCCAATTAACCTTCTACTGTAAACTTATCCCTTACTTTTTCTTATGTTTAGGAAGAGGCATTGGCAAGACCAATTCGACGCAATCAAGTTTTGGGCAATGAAAATTTCAACCTTGATGAAGGTGACAACATTGCAGATGATGATCAGCAGCTGCAAGCGGCAGCGGAAGTTAGGGGAGAGGAGAAGAGATTGATGATAATGAATGATGTTTTACCTAATGTAGAGGGGGAAGAAGAGGAAGAGCAGGAAGAAGATTTTTAGAGTTGTGTGCTTGTTTGCTTCTGCTTGCTATTTGAGAAATCTTTCTGTTCAAATGTCAAAGATCAAGTACTTTTCTCTATTTTAAAAGAATGTGTTGTTTTTACCAACATCTACTTCTCTTGCATTTAAGTTTACAATTTGTGAAGTTCTTTTTGTTTTAAATCATTGTTACTGTATTATTGTTAAGGTGATAATTTCTGTTTTTCAAATTGTTTTCAAATTTTATGTGACAATATTATGGGTGTTCTTACTCGTCTGATTTGAGTACTTCAAATTTCATTCCAAATTAACTTGTGATATATGATTACAATTTCATGTAGTATATGAAGATATCTGGTCTTGTTATAGCATTTGTTACAGTTGCACCTGTGTATCTTTCTGTTAAGGGTTGTTTGTTTTATAACTGCTATAGATATTCTGCTGTTATTTTCTTATGTACCTGTTAGCTTATTGCGTTCCAATCTTGTACTTTACATTAAGTATATGTATATCTTGGGCAACTAATTAAGAAGCCTTGTTTAAAAATCAATTTGAAATAAACATTTATTTATAAACTTTTCAGAAGAATGTCTATACACTGTCAGTAGCCTCCTGGGAACAAATTAAGAAGATAAGAACAATAATAATTAAATGATCCATAATGTTCACAGCATATGGCTCTTCAAGCTCAGAACCACCTGTCAAATAATAGTACATTAATAACGTACAGTACAAAGTCTAGTCATTGGCCAAACAGAATAACTTAGATGTACAAACAGAAAGTAAAAGACATGTCATTAACAGACCAGGAAAACAAATTATTAAAGCTAAGTAGTGTGATATAACACAAAATGAAAACTAAAAATAATACAAAGGAAGCAGCATAAGTGATTTTCATGGCTACTAGGAACAAACTATTTAAGCTAAGTAGTGTGATAACTACTTACAACACAAAATGAAAAATTAAAATACAAGGAAGCAACATAAGTGATTTTCATGGCTAATTAGACTGACCTTTCTGATCAATCGATTTTTTAATAAGTTCTAGGGTCTCATTTATAGTTGAAAACACTTTTTTTCTTTCCTGGAAATTTTCTTGAACAGTCACCCTCATTTGATGAATTTCAGAAAGTAACCCATCACGCTGTTCTGCCTGTTTCTCGTGAAAGTCTTGTGTGCTACTCTTATTATAAACCAGCTTCCTTATGGCACCTTTCTTCTTAACAGCTGCATCATTGTTGTCACTAGGCCGAGTTCTTGATGTTCTGGGTTTTTCCACAATTTCCTCATCCCTGGCACAGTAGGATGATCCAGTCCCTGTACTCAATGAAAATGGTGCACTAAGAGTGGCGCAACCTCCAAAAATATCCAGCATTGCATCATAATATTCCCATTTGGTTGGGGACCGGCCAGTGCCACATATTTTAAGCTTCTCATCATGCATTTTTTGCTTTAGAACCCCCATGTGGTCCCTGCACTGTTTCCAACTGACTTCAGCATTCAATTGCTTCATCTCATTACTGATCTGAGCCCATAAAAAATATGTTTCAGGGTGGATTTGGACCCCATAAAATAAGCATGTTTAGGCTTGTACAAAGCTATTAACAAAAGAACTTTCTCATGTGTCCATATGCGGGCTAAGTAAGAAAAACAAATATTTATAGACATTTTGACCATTTTATCATATAATTTTAAAACAGGTAATAAGAGCATGCAAGACTG